CCTTTCTTAAGGCTCTACAATTACAATTCAATTACATATTATAGTAAAATTACTTCAACTGCTGTTTAATTGTAAAAGTTTTTTTGATGTCTTCTTCCCATTGAGAATTTTAATTATAGGGCAGAGACTATACTTGTACTTGCTTCACTTCCCCTGTCCCAATTATATGACCTGCCCTGTTCATTCTTAACACAGTTCCCTTTTTTCAGAGATAGTAGAGTGCCAAGAAATAGGCAGATTGTTCTCAGACTGTAGCACAGAATCTTCAGAATTCACTATTGTACATTTGATGCAAAAAATGTTATCCCCTTTTTGCACAGTTCCATTTTTGTGAAACTGGAAAACACTTCTATGCAAAGACTAAATCCTGACTTTTCATTCTTACAAAATAGAAGCTTCCTTGTAGTGATTTATGAAGAGGAAAGAGAAGCAAGAACTACCATACAGAAACATATCAATCATTCACCTAGGGTCCTGTCTGCAAAAACAACCGGACCATATACGTTAGGGGAAAGCCTAAAACTTTATTGGTATGAAAAATTATGGTGTGACAGAAGAACTCCCTTCTTAGCTCATCTGATAATTCCTTTATTCCCAAATGAACAATTGGCTCTGGACCATATACATTAGGGGAAAGCCTAAAACTGTTTATTGGTATGAAAAATTATGGTGTGACAGAAGAACTCCCTTCTTAGCTCATCTGATAATTCCTTTATTCCCAAATGAACAATTGGCTCTTGTAATTTTAATCTCAGTTACTATTGTTTAACTAGAAGCTGTTGAGAGGAGATGGTGTTTGTTTTGTTTGGGGTTTTTTTAATATCTATTTTGTTGCTACTGGCTCTTATTTTGCTTGTCATTAAATGCCAGTTGTTAAATATATTGTGTTTCAGTTTTGCTTTTAGGTAAAGAATAAGTGAAAATACCCGATACACGCATCTTGCGCTTTTGTTTTACTTCATATCTGTTATTATTCTTCTCAAATTAAGGTAGAATGCTTTAGGAAGATTCCACCCAAGCAAAATGCTTAGCATAAAGGGAATATTTTTACAAACATATACACCAGAAATCCTCACCTCTTTGTATTTTGCCTTGTAAAAACTTTATTTTAAGCAAAGACAGCCAGCAAAACAGGCTTAAACACCTCAATCCCTTACCCTCAAGTATTCCTGGGCACAGAACAAATCGAGGAAGATCATCTTCACTGTGGTCATACCCAAATGATACCTCTTTCACTGTTGCCATATGACTGTAGCTGAAGACCGCAGAAAGAAATCACCTATACATTCTAACCTCTAAGTGAAACAGAACACAAAGCAAGAACCTCTAATAGTTCAAAATTTGCCTACAAGTTTGTCTGACACATTGTCATTCCAATGGCTGCCCCAATCTGACTTTTATAATGCATTACTGTACACATGTCCCTCTTGTCTTCTGTTTTTCCCAGTTTATTATTTCCTAAGTAATCTCTCCTCCCCATCCCAAAGTACCGAAAAACCACAATGAATGTGTTTTGATGCCATCGTACTGCTTAAGGGGTATCTTTCTTCCCTACAGTGACTCTATCTTGTCTACTTGATCCTCAATCCTGTTAGATAGTCTCTATATTATTGTGTTTATACAATGCCCAGTAAAATAGTAATTAATTACATAACCCAAATCTTCACAGTCTTTTAACACATAAAAGGAAAACACATAGCCAATTTGAATGTATTTGCCTTGTGACTTTTAAATGGGTTTACTCACCCCATGACAATGATTGGATCTTTTTTCTTCTCTGAATTTACTCAATTTCTGAATTAGCTCATCTGGTTTAACTGAAACACAAGATGAAGGAGTCATTCTTGGCTACTTCCATGTGGTCAAGCAGATCTCCGGTTGATTTCTACAACTCTGCAAAACACAGTAATTTCATTTTGCTCTCTAGATAGTAGAACAACAAATCAACAAAACTTAATAACAGATTAAGTATTAAATCTTATGCAGTTTTTTTCAAACTAGCTGGCTTGTGGGATGTCACTTTCTAATTTTCTGTCAGAAAAGTGGAATCTTCTCTTAAATGGAGGCTATGAGGTTTTTAGTTTACTTTTTCACCAGAAAAGAAAATATGAAAATAAGAATAGCTATGTTTGCTAAGTTTGTTTGTTTAAAGGATAGACAACAGAAATGACACAGTGGCTGTATAGAAATCATGGAATCAAATAAATAAATAAAACCCCACCACCCTTGAGGCTTTAAACCTGAGACTTAGAGCTTAAATAACAGACACAGAATTATAAACCAGGCAAGAAAGTGGGTGGCCAAAAAAATAAGTGGGTTGTCCTTATGTCGGTCCATTCAGCTATCTCAGCTTCCAAACATTAGATAATCTAAATTCTAATACATGAGAAAACTAAGTAACAGAAGTATGGTGTTTCACTGGTCTGTTTTTATACACAAGAAATAGAAGTTAGTTACTTTTCTAAGACAGAATTCAGCACACTAGAGATTTCTCAAAAAATTATATCTTACACAAAGTAAATTAAAGGGGACACTATACAACCTTGACATGGTACTGTCATCAACTGCCAGAGGAGGAAAAACAAAACCTGACCACACGATTCTAAAGAGTAAAATTGTGGTCTACGACATCACACCTTGGTTTTTTTTTTTTTCTTGCCTCCTACAGACAATGTTTTACTGCAAAAATAGGTTCAAGCCTTTTGTCAATTGAAATAATCAGTTCAGAGAACTGTGGTCTCCTCTTGAGCACACAGCATATGTCTATACTGGAAATTTAAAGCTAGTACATATAGAAGAACAGAAGTCACTGCATAAGTCCTGAAGCATATACTTGAACACAACTGAATTAGTCTAAATTATCATTTTTATTGTCTCATATCTCCTGGTCTAAATCGTCAAGTCTCATAGCTAGCAAATTTGCCTCAAGATTCATTTTGTTTACATAGTGTAATTACTAGATTAATTATGAATCTTGAGTAACGTATTAAATCTTACCTTGCCCCAAAGAAAGCATGCACGTATGTATGTGAGTAACAAATCATAGAAGTTATCTGCCCCTAAATTGCTTTAGTTTTCTTTCAAAATAAAAACTCAATGTTACTTGTTTGGAACTTTAGCAAGTATAAAAGCAATTTATACTGAAAGCAAAATAATTTAAAAAGCTACAAATGTAGAAGCTATACAAATATAGAATAATTCTTAAAGTCTTACACTATTAATCTTCTAGAAAACCATATTCCCAGTAGCTTGCTCATTCTGATATGGTACAAGGAGAAAGGTATAAATTGTATCAGAGTATTATATTCTGGGTTACAAAATGATGCTCAAGTTCCTGCTTCTTGGTTCCCACTCCTATTCAGCATTACTTGCCCTTTCTCTAACGCATTCCAAGAAGAAACAAAACTGTTTTAAATCACAGTTAATTCTCAGCCAGGATTATTTTTGTAGCTTTATAAAAAGAGAGAAACGGTAATTATGCTAAATAATTTTGAAATTCTTTCAATTTATTTGTTTCTTTTCCATAGAAAAATCAGCCATGGTTTGTGAACAACTTTTAATTCCCCTTTTCAGCAGAGAAAAAGAACATGCATGGCAGTTTTTTTTCTCAAATGAATGTCCAAAGTAGCACCTGTGCTCTATATTGATTCTTAATTTCAAATGTAAGAGACAGTATCTGAATATATTAGCTTTACACTTAAAATAAGGGTGAGAAAAGGAGTATGAACATAGCCAAACTCAACAACTAAGCAGAACATTTAACAGAAAGCAAATTCAGGTACACTAAATAATAATTTCAGTGACCATTAAATATATAATAATCAACAGGTAGCAAAACTACTTTACAGCTGGACTGAATTTTAGGTCCTGTGTGGCAGCTGGGCCCAGGTGGATCCTCTCCTCCCTGGAGCCTGCCGAGGCCACGCTCAGCACAGTGAAACACTTGCTTCACAGGTGGAACCTCATTTTTATTTTCTCTTCCAACCCCATTCTCTAGGATGCCCTACCGCCCTCTGGCCTTCACCCTTTCCTTCACTGAAAGGAAATGTTTTTTTGATAAATTGGTATGGCTTTCACCCTGAATTTCAGCTAGAGCCAGCAGATAGCCAAATGATTTTTAGGACTTCAAAGCAATCTGAACCCCCTTTCTCCCCATATTAAGG